AACCATTGTGGTGCCAGAAATTCAAACCAGAGTTTCAGTTGATCTCCCTGCATGCTAAGCAAGCCCTTTATTTCCTGTACTGTCTCTCCCCCCAGAATTTTTTAATTCCAAACATAAATGCTACCACATATTCCTTCCCTCCCACTCCCGACCCCGGAAAATAGTGTTCTATTTTCTATTGCTGTGGATTTGGTTATTTGAGGTACTTCAAATAAGTGAAATCATATAATACATGTCTACCTTGATTTATTTAACATGTTTTTTAAAGTTCATCCATGTAGCATTCATTAGAACCTTTTTGTTTTGTTTTGTGGCCACACAGGTCATGCTCATGAGCTACACCCACTTTGGTGCTCCCTGAAATGTGGTGGAGGGCATCAAACCAGGGCCTCCTGCATGCAAAGCATGTACTCTAGCCCTTTTATCTATCTCACAACCAGATCCTTAGTCCCTTGTTTGTTTTTTTGTTTGTTTGTTTGCAAGCCACCCCCCCAGAGTGTTCAGGAGACTATATGGGGTATCAGGGAGCAAAACAAACACTTTTCCCACTGTTCTATATCTCCGGCCCCAAAACTCCATTTCTTTTTAAGACTGAATAATACCTCATTGAATAAGCCATATTTTGTTTATTCATTCATCTAATTAAGGACATTAAAGATTGTTCTTAGTTTTTGGTTGTTGTGACTAATGCTGTGAATGTGGATACACAAGTATCTCAGTCCCTATTTTACTTTATTTTTTAAGAAATCTTTATTTCATTTTGTTTTGTTTTGGGACCTCTCCAGTGGTGCATGGGGCCTCCAGCACTATACCCAGTGATGTTGGGGATCAAACCTGTACCCCCAGACATGCAAAACAAGCATTCTAGTCCTTTGAGTTATCTCTCTGGCTCCTTAAGTCCCTGCTTTAAATTCTCTTTGGTATATAACGAGGAGTAGAATTGGTGAGTTAGGTGTTTAATTTTATGTTTAAATTTTTGAGGATTCACCAAAATGTTTTCCATGGGGGCTTGCTCAAAGAGCTGGAGCATCTGCTTTGTATCCAGGAGTCCTGGGTTCCATTCCCAGCTACCCTTGGTGCTGCAGGGAGTGACCCCAGAGCACTGCAGGGTGTAAACCAGAATACTCTCCCAAAAAAAGTTCTCCACAGCAACTATGTCATTTCATCTTCCCACTAGTGTTGCATGAAAGTTCTAATTTCTTCACATCCTCGCCTACACTTGTAATTTTCCATTTTTGTTTTGCTTTAGTTTTCTGATTTCTAATTCTTTTCCTGGTAGGTGTGAAATGCTAGCTCATTGTGGTTTTGACTTGTATTTCCCTAATGACAATGATGCTGAGATCTTTTATGTACTTATTGACTGCCCTAAAACCAAACAACTATTTTTTTATTTTAACAAAAAGAGAAGTACTGAAGCTTTTTCCTCTCCCTTAACATACTCTTGCACATCCCAGCTTGGAGTGTGTCAGTTAAGAGCTGCTAAGGAGAGGCCGGAGAGATAGTACAGTGGTTAGGGCATTTGCCTTCCATACAGCTGATCCAGATACAAACCTCAACACCCCGTATGGCCCCTCTGTGCACACCTAGGTGATTCCTGAGTACATAACTTGAAATAACCCCTGAGCATTGCCAGATGGGGAAGGGGAGGAGGAAAAGCTGCCAAAGAGGGCCGCAGCGATAGTGCAGTGTGTAGGGCACTTGCCTTGCATACAGCTGACCAGAGTTTGATCCCTGGCACAATATATGGTCTCCTGAACCCCACCAGGAGTGCAGAGCCTGGGTGCAGAGCCTGAAGTAAGCCCTGAGCACAGCTGGGTGTGGCCCAAAAACCAAAAGGAAAAAAAGCTAATAAAGAATCTTAGGTACTTGGAGCTGGAGAGATAGCACAGTGGGTAGGGCATTTGCCTTGCACGCAGCTGACCCGGGTTCAATTCCCCGCATCCCATATGGTCCCCTGAACAGTGCCAGGAGTAACTCCTGAGTGCAGAGCCAGGAATAACCCCTGTGCATCGCCAGGTGTGACCCAAAAAGCAAAAAAAAAAAAAAATCTTAGGGACTTACTCTCTTGAAATAATTAAAGTTTCATCAAATAGTGAAGATTTGGGGGCTAGACTGATAGTACAGCGAGCAGGTAGGACATTTTGCCTTGCATACATCCAACCCATGTTCGATCCCCAGCATTTTATATGATCCCCCAAGCACCGCCAGGATTAATTCCTGAGTGTAGAGCCAGGAGAAACCCCTAATTTCTAGTGTAATGTCCAAAAACAAAACAAAACAAAAAAAATAGCAAAGATTTTTTTTAATGCCTTCTGGTTTTGACTCCCTAACATCCTTAAAGTTCCTTAATTCAGGAATTAAGAGTCAGAGAGATAGCTAAATGGGCCAGTGGACTAGATTTGCATAAAAGATGTGTAGGTCTGATCCCATGGTCACCAAAGCACCACAGAAGGCAAACCTCTCGCAAGCAACAAGGCAAGACTAGCCCCTGAGCAACAAGAAAGGAGGGAGGGAGGGAGGGAGGATATATATATATATATATATATATATATATATATATATATATATATCCCTAAAATTAAATCTATTATCTGGAGTTTGGGGGTTAGTCCTTTTGTGGTGGTTGGGGGTGTGGGGGGGGGAGAAATAAGCAATTATCAGTCGGAGAGTTAAATTAAGGGATGCATTAGCTAGACTAACTGTTCCCAAATTCATTTGACCTGCTACCCACATTTGCAGGAGGGAAAAAAAGCACTCAGCACCCCTCATTGTACCCAAGGCTACTATGCCCAGCCTCATTCCAGCCCTGACTCTCACTTCCTCAGGTAGTATCTTAAACTTTGGGAAGCAATGAACTAAATCATTGTTTGTGATAAGTACTAATTTAAATGGTACCAAAATTTCACTGTCTGCCATTTAGAAGAAGACAAAGGATTTGTACATATCAGAACTCTTCTTAGGAAGTATGGTATATGTAATGGGAAATAAAGACTATGTAAGGAATTTGATAGGTGCAGATTATTTGGGGTTCTAACATGGTTGATATCCCTCAGGATCAATAAAATAGCTGGCAGAAAAACTCTTGAAAAAAAATTTTTTTTTGTGGATGATGGCTAGATATTTTTCCTAGAAAACCCAGCAGTTTCTTCTTGTAAATATGTGTGTAGAGAGGTCAACCCTGCTCCCTGCCTTTTTCCCTCTGAGAGGCCTCAGTGGCAGCACTTTAGACAGACATGACCAAGTTTAAGACCCAGAGACCTTCCTGATAAAAAGGAAGAGTTGTTCCACCTGAAAGTGGAGCTGGCCCAGCTGCGCGTCACCAAAGAAATAGGCAGTGTGGCAGCCAGGCCAGGAGCTCTGAGATCCAAGTGGTCCTCAAATCCATCGCCTGTATTGTCACTGTAATTAACCAAACTCAGAAAGAGAACCTCAGAAAATTCTACAAGGGTGGATAGGAGCCATAGTATAGCAGGTAGGGCATTTGCCTATGCATCGCCCTGTTCAGTTCTCAGCATCCCATATGGTCCCCCGAGCACCACCATGAGTGATTCCTGAGCACACCCCCAAGAGTAACCCCTGAGCATCACTGGGTGTGAAAACAAACAGAAAAAAAAGAAACAAAATTCCACAAGGGCAAGAAGTATAAACCCCATGAAGCACATTCACTGCGAAAAATAAGTAAAATAGGAGCTGAAGAAATAGTAAAGTGTGTAGGGCACTTGCCTTGCACGAACACCTGGGTTCAATCCCAGCATCCCATAAGGTCGACAAGAACCATCTGGAGTGTGAACTTTGCTGGGTATAGCGCCAGAAAAATGTAGGGGCTGACAACATGAACTAAGCAGGACCCCATCCACTGCACCTCATCCCCCAGCACCAATGGGAGTGACTCAAAAGCAAAATGAAGACATGTGTAACAGATATGTCAGCACTATCAGCTTAAAGACTTCTGAGCTATATTTTTCTTTATTCCCACTTGTTCTGTGTGGTTATACAAGCACGTAGCACTGTCCTCCCATTGTTCATCTATGTGCTGGAGTGGGCACCAGTAACATCTCCAGTGTGAGACTTGTTACTGTTTTGGGCATATTGAATACGCCATGGGGAGTTTGCCAGGCTCTGTCGTGTGGGCAGGATACTCTCGGTAGATTGCGGGGCTCTCCGAGAGGGACTGAGGAATCGAACCCAGGTAGGCCCTGTGCAAGTCAAATGCCCTACCCACTGTGCTATGTGGTTATACAAGAGTTAGTCCTAAATCAGTTTTTCACCCCCATCCCTGGGAGCTGGGGGTGGAGAAGCACACCCAGCAGTCCTCAGGGACTATTGCTTGCTCTGTGCTAGAAGTGACTTTTTGTGGTGCCAGTAATCCGACCTGAGTCAACTGTATGCAAGGAAATCACCATAACCCCTGTACTATCATTCTAGACCATCAGTTTAACTATTAAACCAGAGCTCATCACAGTATATCATGCTGTCTGCATCATATGACTGGAATGCAGATAGGCAGGCAGACACATGATAAAAGTAGATCAGTGTTTTCCAAAGTGGGCAATGTTTAGTCCAGGGACCTGGACTAATCATCTGCAGTAGAAGCTAATAGCCTTCGATGCAGATGGAGGCACTTCCTGTTTTTACCAGGGAAATAGTACATTGTACCTGGCCAAACCAGCTTCTATTCCTATATGGCCCCCTGAGCACCACCATAATCACTTCTTGAGCACAGAGCCAGGAGTAAGACTTGAACACCACCAGGTACACTAATTTTTTTTCCTGAGAAGACAATGGTAGACTAAATAAGTCCACACCTCTCAAATTGAAATGTGATTATTAAGATTCGCATTGCTGGTAACTCTACTCTCTTACTAAGAGTAACCTCATATTGTATCTTTTTCAACTTTTTATCATAACTGCAAATTTTTCAGGCAACTTAAATTATATATGGAACAAGATTAGTATAAGTGAATAGTATATTTCCACTACCATGTCTGTTTTTTTCTCAGGAAATTACTACAATCAAGGGAAGATTCGTAAGAAAGAACTTTTGCAGAGCTGTGAGGTGTTGGGGATTCCGCCCTCCAGGGTGATGATCATTGACAACAGGTAATTTCCCTTTTAATAACGTAAAAATTCATTGACAATAAGTATGAGCATTCAAAGGACTACCCCCCTCCAAATTTCATGTGGGTGAATAAGAATATTGTATTTGAGAAATGTATTTAAAATCGACATATCGAATACTCTCGGTAGCTTGCCGGGCTCTCCGAGAGGGGCGGAGGAATCGAACTCGGGTCGGCCATGTTGGCTGCCTGCAAGGCCAACACCCTGCTGCTGTGCTATAGTTTCACATTTATTTTCAAAAAAAGTGAGAAAAATACACTTTTTCAGATTTTGTATCTTAAGATAGCTACTTTAATCTTAAAAATACAGAATTTCAAATTTATACAAGAGTATAAAGAATAGAATTGTCCCATCTGCCTATTACCTAAACTTAATAAATAACAAGTCATTCCTATCCTATCCCCACTTAACCATTGTGCGGATGTGTGCACATGTAGGTTCTTTAAACCCTTTATATTTAGGGGTATTCCTCTCTCTGAAGAAGATGGACATTTATTCTGGGCCATAATGCCTGTAGAATCATGATTATTAACACATCTCACAAAATTAATGACAACAGCAATTTCTTGGTGTCCTCCAACACCCAGTTCATACTGAAATTAACTCAAAAATAGATAGTTGCAGCTGGTCTGTTTAAATTAAGTTCTAGTCAAGACCTGCACTTTATAGTTCGCTGATACTTTTCATTCACTGGCAGGGCCAGTAATTCATTTACTTCCCTCCATTATGTCTTTGGTTGTTGAAAATACTGGAGTCATCACAGAGAATAGAGCAAAATGGACACATTCTAAATTGTCTGTCTGCTTTTTCATGGTACTGTGTGTGTGTGTGTATGTGTGTGTGTTGGTTTTTAGACCACACCTAGCAGTGCTTGGGGTTACTCCTACCTCTTTGCTCAGTGGTCACTCCCAGGAGTACTAAGGTGACAATGCAGTGTTGATTATGCCTTGAACCCAGGCCTCATGCATGCAAAGCATGCACCTCCAGTCTACTGAGCTGTCGTCCCAGCCTTATCGTCCATATTTATTTTTGTTTGTTTTGGGTCACATCTAGCAATGCTCAGAGTTATTCCTGGCTCTATACTCAAGAATTACTCTTGGCAGTGCACACAGGGCCATATGGAATGCCAGGGATCAAACTTGGGTCAACTGCATGCAAGGCAAATGCCCTACCCACTGTACTATCACTATGGCCCATACTCCATATTTCTTGAAAATTGAAAATTAACCACCAACTCCTGAAGGGCAAGCATATTGCATAAATTAAACTATGTACTTCAGATTGTATTGTTTGAAAAAACACATTCTCTGATATACAATCACTTGCTGATTCTAAAGATTGGTCATTGAGTTCAAGTGGCAGAGACAACTTTCATCATATTAAAGACCCACATCAATCTTTCATGTAATCTATTCATATTTATTACCCAAGTCATTAATCTAGAAGTTACAAAATGGTATGTTTTTAAATACTTTCTAAATGTATTGCAATTCTTCTGTGAAATAGAACTTTTCCTATCAATTAGGATTATTTAGTTACCTTAATGAATATAATTTTATCCAAAAAGATAATATAAATGTGGGGCTGGAGCAATAGCACAGCGGGTAGGGCGTTTGCCTTGCACATGGCTGACCCAAGTTCGATTCCCAGCATCCATATGGTCCCCTGACCACCGCCAGGATTGATTCCTGAGTGCATGAACCAGGAGTAACTCCTGTGCGTCTCCAGGTGTGACCCAAAAAAAGAAAAAAAGAAAAAAAATAACATAAATTCTATTCTTCTTATTATATCTATCATTTTGAGAATAAGGAGTTTTATACCCTACATACTTTCAGTGGCTGATCCTTTATTTGTTTCTGAGGTAAGGGAAGGCACTTTTTATTTCAATAGGAACTTAAGAGATAGTACAAGGGTTAAGGTACATGCCTTGCATGTGACCAACCTTGGTTCAGTCCCCAGAACCACAGATTGTCCCTCAAGCACCACAGGAATGATCCTGAGCATAGTGCCAGGAGTAGCCCCTGAGCACTGTTGGGTGTGTTGCAAGCCCTCCCCAAATTTTTTTTTTCAGAATTAAAAGAACAATATAATGAGCATTCATTTACCTTCCACTATGGATCAAGCTGTTATATCTTTCATTTTGACTTAACTTTCATAGTTTTTTTCCCAAGTGATTTATTTCAGGGACACTATATTTTGAGACCACACCTGTTCAGGAGTTTCTTTTGGCACTGCGCTCATGGGTCACTCTTGATAGTGTTTGGAGATCACATGTGATGCCAGGGATTGAACCATTGTTGTTAACTGCATTCAAGGCAATTAACCGTGAAGCTATTTCCTTTCTTTTCTTTCTTTTTTTATTGGGGGGGGGGGTGTCACACCGGGCAATGCCCAGGGGCTACTACTGGCTCTGCACTCAGGAATTACTCCTGACAGTGCTGGGGGACCATATAGGATGCCGAGGACCAAACCCTGGTTGGCTGTGTGCAAGGCGAACACCCTATCTGCTGTACTATCACTCCGGCCCACTTTTATTCTTTTTTCTGGAAGGCCACACCTGGCAGTGCTCAGGGGTTACTCCTGACTCTGCACTCGGGAATTAGTCCAGTTGGTGCTCAGCAGACCATTATGTATATCAAGAATCAAATCCAGGTGGGTCACATACAATGCAAACACCATACCTGCTGTATTATCGCTCTGGCCCCATTGGTGCTTTTTTTTTTTTTTGCCTGAAATTTTTATGATGAAAAAATTTTAAGTACTGTGCCACATGCCTTTTCTATAACATTTTTACACAAATATATAGTTTACTGTATTGTTATTGACCTGCCTGTTAGCCTAAAAAATAAATGAGAGAGCTGGAGAGATAGTTTAGAGGATAGGGCACTTGCTTTGCACCCGGGTTTGATCCCTGGCATCTCATGTGATCCCCCAAGCACTGCCAGGAGTAATTCTTGAGTATAGAGCCAGGGGTAACCCCTGAGCATTGTCAGGTGTGACCCAAAAACAAAACAAAAGGAAAAAAGAAAAACAGATCAATGTTAAAAAAAAAAATATATATATATAGGTTATAGGTTAAGCCAAAATGACAAAATATAACAGCTTGATCTGTGGTGGAAAGTAAATGAGTGTTACATGGTTTGTGAGTATCACAACGTTTTTGTTTCTTACCAGCAACGCAGCTTTTGGAATTCATTGTCAATTAATTTGTACTTGCTTTTCTTTCTTGACTTTCTACTTTTCTATTGTGGGGTAATATTGCAACTTAAAATACTGTAAACAGAGTAGAGTGAGTGCTCTTCACCCACTGTGCATTTGTCAAGTTTTATTTGATCCCCAATAACACAAAAACAAAAAAAAAAAAAGGAAAGTTCTTTTAAGTATACGGGGAAGAGTTAAAATTATCAGAGAAAACTGAAGTAGCAATTTTACTGGCATATCAGGTGATCCCCTGAGCACCACCAGGAGGAGTAATTCCTGGCATTAATTCACTCCTAAAAACAAAAACAAAAACAAAAACAAAACACAAAATTGGGGCCAGAGAGATAGTATAGCAGGTTAAGCACTTATCTTGCACATGATCAATCCATGTTTGATCCCTGGTACCCCATATGGTTCCCTCCAGACCACTACCAGGTGTGATTCCTGAGTGCAGAGCCAAGAGTAAGCCCTGAGCACTGGCAGGTGTGACTCTAAAACAAAACTGAAACGGCAAAATTTGTGAGCCAAGGAGATAGCTCAGGGGGAAAGGCCTATGCTTTGCATGTGCAAGAACCCTAGTTTGATCCCCAGTGCTATGTAGTGCTCAGCACTGTTGGGGTGTCCTGGTGGCTTTTAGGACTGGCCTGAGCAATATCGCATTATTTGGCGGTAGCATTAAGTCATTTGCCCTGGTTGGCCAAATAGCACCAGGAATGGCCTCCAGCTACCCATGTCTTTCTTTGGATGCCCCTACAAAAAACAGTTTGCTCTTCTATTTTTATAGGACAATAGCACTAGAGAAAGTTCTTTCCAAAGCCCCTCCACTCCCTCGCATGGTTCAGGATCACTCACGTGCTTGGTTGCGATGCTACCAAGGAGCTTCCCTCGGTCACACTCAGCCCCCTCTGCTGCTGTGTATGTGTTCACTGAGATTTGCACTCATGGCTGCAGAACTCTCCCACCTTTTGCTGAAACTCCCCAATAGGTTCAGAGAATCAGGGGTTACCAGGGCATCTGCCCTGAGTGCTGGCTGATAGTTAGGTCTTGGGCCCAGTGATGCAGTGCTGCTCAGGCGGGTGGTACCAGGCCTGTTAGGGCTATCCAGGCAGTGTTCAGCAGCCCCAAGCGCTACAGCCAGCAGTGGTTGAGGGGCTGTCTGATGCCAAAAAAGCAAACTTTGGTCTGGTATATTCATATGCTTCACCTCTTTGGTTTTTTTTTTAATTTTTTTAGTTGAATCACCATGAGATACAGTTACAAAGCTTTCATTTTTGAGTTTCAGTGCTTTCATTTTTGAGTTTCAGTCATACAACGATCGAACACTTATCCCTCCACCAGTGTACATTCTCTATCACCAACGTCTCCAGTGTCTCTCCCCGCACCCCATCACACCCCTCCCCCTGCCCGAATGGCAGACAATTTCCCCCATACTCTCTCTCTACTTATAGACATTATGGTTTGCAACACAGGTATTGAGGGGCCATCATGTTTGGTCCTTTATCTACTTTCAGCACACATCTCCCATCCTGAGCGATCCCTCCAACCATCATTGATTTAATGATCCCTTCTCTATTCCAACTGCCTTCTCCCCCAGCTCATAAAGCAGGCTTCCAACGGTGAAGCAATCCTCCTGGCCCTTGTCTCTACTGTCCTTAGGTGTTAGACTTATATTAATGTTATTTTATATTCCACAAATGAGTGCATTCATTCTATGTCTGTCCCTCTCTTTCTGACTCATTTCACTTAGCATGACTCCAGGACCATCCATTTATAAGCAAATT